ACAATACATTTATTGTAAGGGACTTCTGTAGTAATTGTTGCCTTAAATAGTGAAGGCAAACAAATTCCATTCACATGTTGAATATGTGATGTTTATTTTATGTGAATAAAATAAGCAAGTTCTATTTTTCTGGTTAACTGGTGGTTTCTTATTTTTATTGGCAGAATTTAGAAATCAATCTCATTATTTATTTTCATTTTGTGATTGCTACAGTGCAAAGCTCATTGACAGCTATGCACAATATAAGTGCATCAACAGGCCTCAGTGATCCTGCTCTTGCCTCTGGGATCTCTTAACTTCTGTATGAAACTTCAAAGCCTAAGGTCACCGATCTGATCTCTGAAACTTCCAAAGTCAAAGACACCCAAGCCAGATGACCATATGGACAATAAATCGTAGCTTGTACCTAATCATGAACATGAATTTTTTATAGCTATACTTACATAGTTTGTCTGTAGTCTGGGTATAAATCAGAATTAATTATGTTGTATTTAGGCATCTATTTTAAATGTTTTTATGGTTTTCGGGTTTCAGGTGGGTTTGACGCAGCTTAGACTGCAGCTATTTGAGTTTTCCACTTTCTACTTGCAATTGAGATTTCTTGGCATTGTAAATTTTTTTTCTTGGTTTTGGTACTTTTTGATCAGATTGTTTAAGTTTAGTTATGTTGTTCTTTTAGAGCATACGAACGTGCTGCAATCAAAGTATCGTGGGGTTGATGCTGATATCATTTGGCGATAAGTGATTATGAAGAGGATATGATACAGGTTTGGAGCTATATTTAGTTTACTGTCAATAATTTGCTCTTTGCTGGGCGATGAATGAATATTATGCAGTTTATGATATTTTGCATAGGATATTTTGCAGGTTCTTAAAAAGAATAGCTTCTTGTTTGAGTTTTCAAGAAAGAGAATGTCGTAAGTAGAAAGATGGAAATTTAAAATTACGTCGCCTCACCATGATTTCTCGACTTCGCATTCAAATTAATGGAAAAAAGGACAATTGGCATACACTTCAACCGTCTATAGTGATATCTAATTATGGAAGAAGGTACTTGATTTTTTTATGTGGTTTGTTAGCCAAATGGATTCTCTTAGGTACTTTAAAAAGTTGAACTTTCCAGGTTACTGTTTTGGTTGTGGACTATTCATATTTGGCAACCGTGTTCGAAACGTAAAGTTGTGCAGCTTGAAAGATTGAGGGATACCAGTATGGGATTACGGGATGAAAAGACTGGTTCTTTTCGAATTGTGTTGTGCTAGGGGTGGCCAAATGCCGGCCCGGTACACGGCCCGGCCTGGTGGGTCGCCATGCCTCAAAAGCTAGAACTGGAACTGGTCCGGCTAGATCTAATGGCCGGTTCAAATGAAC